GTAACTGTAACGGAATACAGTTACTCATATTTTGTATTTTAAATACGTAACGGCGGTACATGTATTCCGTTACTCCCCAACACTGATTATAACCATATACAGTGTATTCAATGGACTCAGTGAAAGGTGAGAAAACAAAGCCACTCTGAGATGTGTCTGTTTAAAGAGAGCATCTGCTGCTTCCTTCAATCAGTTTGGAACCAGAATGAAAGATGTGCTGCTGAAAAATGTCTGTTCACTTCGGATCTGAAGTTAAGTGATTCTTAATGCTTGAGACAAAAGCAGATGGACAGGAAGGTTTAAAGACACAAAATGCAGATGTAAATCAGACATGATAGACATCAGATGTGTGTTTTTCTTTTTTATGTTTATCAAAATTGTGAATTTGGAAAAACCACTGAGACATGTAACACTTGGAGCTTTAAACTACACACAGTGTTGTGTGTTGGTGCGAAGGTTGTAATCTGGGATGATTCAGAAGAGCTCAGCTATCATCTTCACAAGATACACACACAAACATATTTTAGATGATATGAACATAAAAATATTGGTGAAAAACATCTAATGCACTAATGATTGTTTTTAAAAAACAAACTGCAAAAAACTTAATGTGTTTAAATGTTTATTGAATAAAGCAGAAGCATGAATATACAAAATTAGCATGAAGCTGTATGCTTAACATCCTTTCATTTTTTTCTCTTCAACATTAATAAATTCCTTATTTGTTACCAAATTTAATTTAAAAGAAGTCAGTTAATATTATTTACTATGCAAAACTGTTTTAAAATACAATTTTGTTGCAAATCTTTTGATTTTTTTCTTTGTTCTAATTAAATATTTTTTGTTGGCATCTATGCAGGAAAAAGCACCAATGTCTTATTTTATTTATTTACATACCTAACCTAAAAAAAGACTTAAAATATCAATACTATACTAATACTGCTCTCAGAGTCTGTCCACTTTGCATGCAGCCACACACCGTCTCTACATCCCAACAAAGTTAGTGACAGATCACCTTTTTTGTCAATGAGACTCAGGTCACTCAAAAAGAGAAACCCAAACAGCAGGTTCAACAAAGCCAGACTTTCTTTTTGTTATTTTGCTTAACAAAATCGAAATTCCTGGTCAAAGACAAATATATATATATATATATGAATATATAATATATCCATCCATTTGCTTCCGCTTATCCTTTTCAGGGTCACGGGGGGCGCTGGAGCCTATTCCAGCTGTCATAGGGCGAGAGGCGGGGTACACCCTGGACAGGTCGCCAGTCTGTCGCAGGGCCAACACACAGGGACAGACAACCAATCCCACTCACATTCACTCCCGCATTCACACCTATGGGCAATTTAGATTTTTCAATTAACCTATCCCCACAAACTGCATGTCTTTGGACTGTGGGAGGAAGCTAGAGTACTCGGAGAGAACCCACGCAAACAAACAAAGTGAGAGAGGATCCTATTGGTTAATCTTATTAACCAATAAGATGTTAATGGTTACTGGTTATTTCTCCAGTGGTGTTGTTTATGTCTAATATGAGAACTCTGAAACTTTAAAGTGGCCACTCTTAAACATCAGTGCATTCAGATATGACACTGCCCCATATCTAATGAGGAGATTTAAAATTTTAAACATTAAATCAACTTTACTGATCTTGTATTCTGTGTATCTCAAATATATAAAAAAAAAATGTTTAAAAAACAGTTTCTTAAGGTCAACTATGGGTAAACACTGATTGGTCGACTCATTGATTGGTGTTCTTCAAGACACCAATTTGTGTGCAAAGTGTCAACAGCAAAGTCTTTTGGCCATGTTGACCTTTGAAATAGTGGTGCACACAAACCTTCATAAAGTCTAAAGTGCTTCATATGGTTTGTAAACAGGAGCAGATACAAACACACATGAGGGCTAATTAGTTAATAAGTTAATTAGCCACATGTGTGCTAAATATGACAATATCAAAGTCTGATAACAAAGTGCTGGATGAAAAATGTTTAAAGCTTTATAGCTGGAGTTAGCTTATCCTTCTGTTGTTGTTCTCCATTTGTTGAAGTGAATTAACTTTTTTTATTTTATTTTTTTAAAGGAGGTAGTAATAATTAAAAGATTGTCAAAAAGGCAAACTTTGTTTTTCATGCATTACTTAGAGTTTAACCTTTTGTCTGGAAAGACTTCTGAAAAAATTGGTCAGGCATAAGAACTGGACTTTCAAGACTTACAAGAACATCTGACTCCTGGGATTCAAAATGTAAAGAGATCGGCGGCTCAAGACTTCTTCATAGTATTGTAGAAGAGTGGGGTGTAGTGTAAATGTGCACTGCTCTGTGGCACAGTTCTGAGGAATTTGAAAAACATTGGCAGCAGTCTCATTACAGTCACAGGTGACCTGAGGAGTGATCTGTATACTTCACATTAATACAAATAATATTATTTACAAAATGTCACAGACAGGTAACACAGTGACAGCGCTATAATCACCACTGCAAACAAAGCCAGAGCTGCGTGGAGGCCAATCCTCTTAGAGTTCGCTGGTTTTGATGTCACTTCCACAGGTTTGTTAAACGTTGCTGCAAAGAAATTGAACGAGCATGAGTGAAGGGATCATTGCTTCAAGAAAACTTAGTGACTAATTAACAAAGTTAGGTGCTTAAGACTTAAGAGATTAAGACTAAGATCAAGCATGAATTTTAGTTTAACACACTTCATTAGTAACAGCTCTTAAATAGTCAGACCAGATTATCTGGTAGCAAAAGTCACTTCATGACTCTTTTTCCCCCATTCTGATCCTCAGTCTGAACTTCAACAGGTCGTCTTGATCTTGTCTACATGCCTAAATGCACCGAGTTGCTACCATGTGATCAGCTGATTAGATATTTGAATCAATAAGCAGTTAAACGGGCGTACCTAATAAAGTGGATGTGAGTGTACATGCTAGTTCACAGCCTGTGGTACTTTATATCATGGCCACTGGTTCAGGATGGACATGACTGGATGACATAACCAGTGAAGAAAAATCGATGTGTGTGAGACACAGAGAGGGTACCTAATGGTAAAAGAGTGCATGGTTGTGATAATATTGATAATACAGATGCTGATTTTTTTCTGGTGACTGACCATGATGTAGCTGTAAAAATGTACATGAATGTATAGAAACACACTGAGTACAGTCCTTTAATTATCCAAGTCTAAATATTTGATACTACTCAGTTATTGTTATGGAAACCAGCAAAAGAGTCAGTGATGTCATCTTACCTGTAACACTGAGGTCACATGTTTTGGAACTAACTTCTTCGTTAAGGACAACAATGCAGTGATACATCCCCGTGTCATTGAGCCTGAGATCAGTTAAGACACATTCAAGTCGTCCTTTCCTGGCGAGCTGTGGATCACACTGCAGTCGTCCTCTGTAGTGCTCATCTGGATACACCTCAGTGTCAGTCTCACTGTTATAGAAGAAAACCCGTGTCTTCCTTTTCACATTCATTAGGTTTATTTCTAGGAGGTCAGGAGGCCTGTTGGTGTCGAAATGGAGCAGCCATGTTATTGTGATGTTACTTTTTTCCTCAGCTTGGTAGACCTCCTGTTCTACACTCATAGTGAAGTTACTTTGACCTGCAGGAGGAAACGCACACAATATATTAGGAACTATATTAAAAGGCAAAATCAGCTCATGAAACTCAGTAAGCATACTGACAATCTCAAGAGTCAGGCTTCTCTTTCTGACTGTCTTTTATGAGGAGAAGCTAATCAAAAGAAAGTTATAGAACAGAGATAAAACCTATTGTTTGAGACGGAGCAATGAGCTGACAGCAGAGCTCTATTTGTTAGTTTCCACGTACACAAGTGTGTGACGGTCTGCTTTGCTTAGTTTTCATTACGGGGTGAATGTGAGGCCCAGTGTGGACTCGAGGTCTCCATCAGGGAAAGAAGAATATATTTTCTGTAATTCAGAAACAATTTCTCTGATTTTTGAAGTATCAAACATTTTAAATCATGTGATTTCAAACAGAAATCAGAGTCTTATTGAAAAAAGTGTAAAAGTATTAGATTCACATAAATCAAACTAAGAATCAATATCAGCACCAAGTTGACTGAAGCAGGTCTCTGGACTTAGACTGTGGTAACAAGCAGCAGATTTGTGACTTATTGCTGATTTAAATCCTTCTTTTTAACTTCAGAAACAGGAAGTTTACAAACTAATGCTTCATCAGCTGAACACAGCAGCTACTCACCCACTACAGCACAGAAGAGATTCACAGTTAATACTGAGAGGAGGAGAGCTCTGCAGCTCCACATTCTTCATTGTACCCTAAACAGTAAAACCAAGAACAGCATTATTTACAACAGATTCAGTTCATTCATATCACAGCTGAAGTAGACTGAAGATAAACACTGCAGATGGGATTTCTTATCAGATGACTTCATTGTTATTCTCTCACAAACACATGTTTTTGTCCTTGGAAGAAACACATTAATAACTGGAGAGAGCAAAAATCTACTTTTTTAAGTTTCAGTTTTATTTTGGATGAGACTTGTTTCCCTTCATACTATTTTCAGATTTCTTGTTCAATAAATCCAAGGATTTAAAGTAATGCTCCGGATGCAAGGATTTCAAACACCATTTTGTCATATCGAAGGTTTTGCATTCACGATAGATTCACTTCAAAAACTCTTTGATCTCTAACATGGATTTTATGATTGCACAGACGTAATCGACGTATTCATGTTTTTATGCAGCTGAAAATGCTGAAAACAAATGATTCCGAATCCCCAAATTTGATTCTGTTCATCTGGACATAACGTTTTGAGCGGGAAAAACTTTTCCTCACTCATCCAAGTGACTTTTTCAGTCTCAGCCGATTGCAGGTTTCCCAACTTTATCAACAATACATTTGCACAATGACAGAAACGAGCCCACTAAATGAACAATGGGCTGTGATGTTGGTTCCTTGATATACAAATTGTCATGATTATTGATCAACAACCATTGATTCAAATGACTCTGAAGAAACATATCTAACGTATTTCTGATCTGAAGAGGAATGCAGACTCATACTTTAGGCGATTATAAATCTAAAGTACAGTTCACCTATTTAAAGCATACAAATGTCACAGGAACCTTATGGAACACTTGTTATATACTTTTATAAAACTGTCAAAGCATGCAGGCCTCTGTGGACATTTACTTACTGCAGAGTCCTGTGTCGGACGCAGAAGGAGCAGATAGTCACCGAAAAAGAACAAAATTGTCCAAATATCTGCGGTAGGAATCCAATTAAAATTAACACATTAAAATTATAAAAAGTTCAACTCTCTCATGGCTCCAAAGAAAGAAAGAAAGAAATGGCAACATTTCTCCTTGAACAATAATGGCACACCTTGCTGCTTTATCCGCCCCCTCATGTAGGCAAACCCAGACATGCACAAGGAGCTCATAGCTGAGAGATAATAACGCTCAGAGTTGTATATGAGCAAAGATGGTTAGTCTGTGTGGGTGGATGTGAGAGCGCTGAGTCACTGTTGAGATACTCCGGTTTTCACTTCATTATTTAAGCTTTAAGTGCTACTTTTAGAATATTTCATCTCCACATCAGCTCTCTGTTTTGATACACTGCTACAGACTCAGCAGACTGAGGGACAGCACATTAAAATCGCTTTGACCTTTTACCTCTACTGCTAAAAAGCTCCTAAATAAACACATTGATAGACTTCATTTTCACACAGTCTGGGTCAAATATATGAAATAAATACACTCACATAATGTATATATAAAGCAGCCAGTTAATTTCAGAGCTGGATACATCAGAGAAAACAACATTAATCAAATTAAAGTGTCTCAATTAAATGTCTACACTAACTCGTGCATTATTCAGTGTAACATTTTATGATACTGGAAAAACATTTACACTGCACAATTATTATAAAATATTTTGAAAGTTGATTTGAAAATGAGCAATAATTTGTCCTACCACAGCCATAACCAGTCATGAGGTCACGGAGGCGGCTTTTTGGCTTGAAAGGACTCGAATGGAGTTCTATAAAATTATGGCCCCACAGTGCCCCTGACTGGGTTGTGTATAGAGGGGTTGGTGGATGTGGGACTCATGAGGAGCTACTGAGTAAGTATCCTTTCCCTTTGCACTATTGTAATTTCAAGTGAATGAATAATTTCCATCTCCCATAGTTCTCTATACAAAATCTTTGTTTGTTTATTAAGGTATATCTGGTCCTGACTGAGTTGTATCTTGTATCAAAAGTGTGGTCTTTTCCACTGGTCACTGAAACACAGGAGCTACACCTTAAATCTGACATATTAAGAGAAAAAAATATCAACTTTGGTTACAGCCCAGTTTTTTTTTACTCTGTTCAAACTAAATAAAAATTATCAAACTCTGAAGTCGAGGTCTCCATGCTGCTGCTCTGCTGGCCAAACTATATCACTTAACTTGTTTCTTACTCTCAACCTACTGATAAGACAGTGATGCTCAGTTCAGCGATATACAAGGAAGCTTCTGAGAGGTAAGCTTTCTCTCTCTCCCTGCATCCTGTTATTGGGGTTGTCCAAAAGGCTGCTTTTCTCTGTTCACCCAGCATGACCTCTGACCTTTCTGTGTCTTTCACCATCTTCATGCACTGAAACAAAAGTTATTTTACAAACTGTTCATAATATAGACTGTTTGCA